ATCCCTTGCCCAGCCCTTTTTTAGTTGACCATGCCCATTTTGTAGTCCTAGCCATTGGTTTTATTGAACCTTGTCTGATGGAGTTATAATTGCAATTGGTTTATTTTTTTCTTGTGTTCTAGTAGGATTTTTGTTGTCTTGTGATGCTTTTATTTTAATTTGTTTATATGATTTTCTTCATGGCAATTGAAAGTTTTCCTTAATATGTTTGAAACTCCCCTGAGTCCCTTCGGGGAGATAGGGCGGTATACAAATAAAGTTTTATTATTAGTATTGTTATCTACACTGCCCTATATCCCAGGATCTGATCCCAGGTTATCTGTTTTGAACTAGATTAAAGGAGTCTCCACTGCCAAATAATCTGGCATAAGAAGATAATGTGGGATCAGATCCAGGGATATAGGACCAGTGTAGAAGAGGCCTTAGTCTTGCCATACCTATGACCTCTTTTGTACCATTTTGGCTAAAATTGCAGTTGGCTGTGAAAGCAATGACCGGAGCAGCAGAGCTCTTGTCAGATTTAACAGCCAGTTCTTACTGTTTTTGTATGCCCTTGAACAAGTGCTGTGATTAATAGTTTCTTATGAGACTATAATTTCATTTATTTGGTGTGAGAAACTATGCTCCCATTGAGCAGGTGGCAAAACAAAGAAGGCATCAAATGAAGTTGAGGGTTACTTTGGTCTGGTAAGAGCCTTCAGAGAACCGTTTCACTCTCTTGGCATGCCCTGCAAATGTAACGAAGCGAGCCAGATTTACATTTCTGTGTAATTTTCTTTTATTGTTCATTATTTTACCTCTCAGGCCATAACAAAAAAAAGTATGCAGTCTGGCAAATATGATGTAGTGGAAAAATGAATGGGGCAGTAAACGTGGATTGGAATACAAGGGGGAGGCGTCAGGAAAAGTGACTCATGCTGCTTTTAATAATTAGGGGGAAGCAGGTAACTTGCTAGAAAGGAAGAGGACCTGGGTTTCCAATCCTCCGCAGCTGTTATTAGTGTCCTTTTGAGTTAGCCCTTTCCACAGCTTCCCAAGCGAAAACATTTCATTGCCAATTAAGCTACATCCCTACAAGCTTTAATTTGCAGCAGTTCAAGAGCTCCATGTTTTAACTTAGTCTGTATTCCTGTAACAGTAAGAAGGAACACACAAGCATGAATAGAAGCCAGCAAGTGGATTCCTGCCAAACAGTCCCGATTCAGTTAATAGTAGGAGCCAGATGTGGTGGATTATTCCCCTCCATCCATTTCTGCCAGTGGCTGGCTCACTGTTTTCTTATCTTGAAGGTGTAACTCAGAGTTCCAAGCCAGTTAACATTTCATGAAAACTATCGAGGGCTTAAGAAAGGGGTGGAAATCCAACCTTCTTCATCTTGTTAGCTTTACCAGGAGCGTAGCTGTGGGAAAAGGGAGGCAGAAAGAAAGCGTGCATTCTCCAATTTAAAAAAATCTTCTCCAAATGAAATATTCCTTCAATCTCCAGATATCTACCATTGCAGAGAGTGAGACACAGAAAATCATTCATATTTACTTGTGTTATTTGTGTTGTTGCATGCCTTGGGGTCCTCAATTTATGGAGACCCCAAGGCAGACCGGTTGTGGGGTTTTCTTGGCGAGAGTCACTTATATTTGGGTTGTTGTGAGTTTTCCAAGCTGTATGGCCATCTTCCAGAAGCCTTCTCTCCTGATGTTTCACCTGTATCTATGGCAGTAATCCTCAGAGGGTGTGAGGTCTGTTGGAAACTAGGAAAATGGGGTTTATATATCTGTGGAATGTCCAGAGTGGGAGAAAGAACTCTTTGCCTGTTTGAGGTAGGTGACAATAAAAATGATGACAATGCTATGGAAAATGGACAGGCTTCGGACTAAGTTGGTGATCGTAGAACTTGGATTTAGATATGGCCAACCAATTCAATTTGCACTATTTTAAATGGTTTTTAATTTACATTAATGTTTTACCTATTTTGTAACTGTTGTTTTATCTGTTTGTATATGGGGGGGGGGGGATCGAATTGCTGCCAACTGTAAGCGGCCCTGAATCCCCCTTCGGGAGTAGTGAAGGGCAGGGTACAAATATTTGAAATAAATAAATAAATAGGTGTGAATGTTGCAATTGGCCACCTTGATTAGCATTTAGTGGCCTTGCAGCTTTAAAGCCTGGTTGATTACTGTCTGGGGGAATCCTTTGTTGGGTGGTGATTAGCTGGCCACGACTGAGTCTTGTCTGGAATTCCACTACTTTTTGAGTGTTGTTCTTTATTTACTGTTAGAGTTTTTTTTAATACTGCTAGCCAGATTTTGTTCATTTTCATGGTTTCTTCCTTTCTGTTGAAATTGCCCACATGCTTGTGGATTTCAATGTCTTCTCTTTGTTGTCTGACATGATTAGAATTGTACAGCATTTCTGTTTTCTCAAATAAAATGCTGTGTCCAGGTTGGTTCATCAGGTGCTGTACTATGGCTGACTTCTCTGGTTGAAGTAGTCTGCAGTGCCTTTCATGTTCCTTGATTCGTGTTTGGGCAGTGCTGTGTTTGGTGGTCCCTATATAGACTTGTCCACAGCTCCATGGTATACGATACACCCCTGCAGAGGTGAGAGGATCCCTCTTGTTCTTTGGTGAACATAGCATTTGTTGGATTTTCTTAGTCGGTCTATAGATAGTTTGTAGGCTATGTTTCTTCATCAGCTTCCCTATGCGGTCAGTAGTTCCCTTGATGTATGGTAAGAACACTTTTCCTCTGGGTGGATCTTTGTCTTTACTCTTGTGGCTTTTTCTTGATCTTGCAGCTCTTCTGATGTCTGTGGTGGAGTATCCATTGGCCTGTATATTGTTTTGACAACTTTTTCTGATAGCTTTTTTCTTTGGATACCTAAACTGTATTTCCAAATTTTCAACAGCATAAAAGGTGGAAGTATTACAGTTCAACTCTTCACTCCTCCTCTGTCAAATGCTTCACAATCCTCTCTGATGGTTTACCTAGGGATATATGCTATTATGTTCCTTGGGACTACTAATACCACCACCTCCTCCTCCCTCTTCATATATAGCACCATTCCTGTACATGGTGCTTTATGGGTAAAAGAACTAAACACTTCCCAGCCCTCAGGCTTAAAGTCTAATTAAGGCATGACACAAAAGGAAGAGGGGATTACGTTCAGCAAATACTGTCTCTTCTTCTGTCCCTCTGAGACAAGGGCAGTTGCCGTTGGGATGGATGGAGGACTTTCCTCTGCTTCTGCAGCTAAGCATGATTACCTGTGGCTGCCTCTTCTTCTCTCCCTCTGAGGCCTGAGCAGTGACCATCAGGATGGAAGGAGGTCCTTTCATCTCTTTCTGGGCCTAACCATGATGGAGATCTGCCTGTCTCTTCTTCTCTCCCTCTGATGCTAGGGCAGTGGCAGTGGCGATAGGGGGAAGGTCTTTCATCTGCTTCTGTGCTTCCCATAAATATGGGTGGAGCATTATCCTTATTCAGGATTACAGAACTCTGATAGCTCATCCAATTGAAAATGTCTGACTTTATACAGATCGCATTGTTAAGTAGCAAGCAGTAAGTGGTGCAAGGATCAATGCAGTAAGGAGTGAGCCAAACCACCTGGCCAACATTGTGTGGTTACATCCAGGGTGGGGCAGCTGCTAGGAGAATAAAGGAGCAAAGTACTATTCCTTGCTGTGGGTTGTTGGAGCTGGATTGTTGGAGAGGTGTGTTTGGTGAATCGGAGGAGTTTGCTGGAAGGAGTTTGGAGTTACACAAGGCTTGTGTCTCAAAGAGAATATTTGGGCTCTGTATGTATATATGTTTTTTTATATAAACTTTGCAAAATACAAATGATTGAGTTTGTTTCTTGGTCAAAGGCAAAAGTCTTCCATGTCTGTGAATGTCTACATTCACTTTCATCGTGACACACATTACCCAGGTTTCCACAGAATTTGGGTTGATGAGCTAAAACGATTTAAATTTAAATTACATCTTTAGTAACTTTATTATTTATTTATTTCGTATCAAAAGCATTGCATAAATTAGTATAAAACTGATAAAAATAGAAGGTGTGCAGGCGATTAAATATCCTTTGAGCAAAAATGGGCAACAGCAATGGCATCGTCTGTAGCCTCCAACAATTCCTCCTCTGTACATGAGGCAGGGCATAGTGGACAAGCATATGAATGCAGAGTTGTCTGTTCTGCTCCACAGTCACACAAGGTATGGGATTCTTTTAGGTAGTGCCATTTTGCTTGGTTGTCTTTTGATCTGCCCACTCAGCTTCTGAGTCTATTCAGGGACTTCCAAGTTGCCCATTCTTGGTTTGCCCTTGGAGGAAAACCCTCACCGGGGGCATCCAGTTGGGATTTCCTGGTTTAGCTGCCCAGAGTGATACTCTTGCTGTTGCTGGGGGGACACCAAGAGGAGTGGTAGTTCTCATAAAGCTTTTCCTTGATTTGAGTCTACTGGGAGGAGGTTGGTAGCCATGTAGTGGATGGCTTTCACAGTGTTCAACCTTATTTCTCTCACATTTAGCAGCAACTTCCTGTTGTACATCGAGGGGGGCAATGCCAGCTAGCTTGTAGAGTTTATCAACAGGTGTATGTTTAAGACATCCTGTGATTATTCTGCATGTTTTGTTCAATGCTATAGTCACCTGCTTTGCATGGGCAGACCTATGCCAAACAGGACAGGCATTCTTGGCAGTGGAGTAAGACAAGGCCATGGCTGATGTTCTTATTAATTTTGGGTCTGCACCCCATGTGCTGCCAGTAAGTTTTCGCAGGATGTTATTGCATGCAGCTACTTTGTGCTTGGTGATCAAGCAGTGTTTCCTATATGCTAGTGTTCGATTTAAGGTGACACTGAGATTTTTAGGATGAAAACAATGTTCAAGTTTTTGACCTTCCCAGATGACTTTCAGTTTCCTGTTGGCTTCACGGTTGATTCATATTCGTATTAACAGTTCTTCTGCTTTGTCTCTTTTTTTTCCTTCCCCCATCCCTTCCATCTCAGAGTGAATTGGATGAGAATCAAATCCAGATGGCTGGTGACGATGTGGATTTGCCAGAAGACCTCCAGAAAATGGTGGCTGAAGATCAAGTAGAAGAGGAAGACAAGGATTCTATTCTGGGACAGTTTCAGAACCTCCAAAATATGGACATGGACACTATCAAAGAGAAGGCCCAAGCTACTTTCACTGATATTAAGCAGGCAGCTGAAGAGAAGTGTTCTGTAATGTAGTCAAGACTGTGACAAGATCTGTGTACAGATGCTCACTAGCCATGTATGGCTACTCCCACTGCTCACTTGCCAATTTGTATTTGTATCAGAAGTGTTTCAGGGTTTCCTTTCCAAATAATGTACAACAAACAAACAAATCAGATGTATCTACTGACAAGGAAGTGATGGGATTCCAAAACTGCAGACGATGAGCTCAAAGCTCTAGCAGCACTTAAAAAAACAACTTTTTGTGTTCACAAAAGCACACCATACTTTCAGGTTACCATACTTCCAGGTTGTGAACTGCACGATAAAATTCACCTTGTTAAGTATGATAGACGCCTTTATGACAATTTTCAATAATTCCATTTTCCCGGATTTAAGAAAGATATAATAGTTTTCATTCAGTTGGGTATTAGAAAAGTGTTTCTTAGCTAGGAAAGTTTACAGATGTGTGAAATCTATTTTGCATATGGCCTTTGATGAGCAGTAACATTCTGAAATAAAGGGATATCGATTGTATACAGCGTACAATGATGTTGTGAAGTAAAAGGACAATAAATATTGTGTTATAAAGGGATCATGTCTCGTCCTGTATAAAACATAGATTTAGTGTCAATATATTGGGTCAGTTCGAAAGGGAATAATAATGTTTTAGGGAGGGGGGAGTGCAAAAGGAGCCACGTGACTTTTGAAACACAGGATGTTTCAAAACACAGGATGTATTATTTGTTAAACACATCAAAACAAAATATTGTATAGGTTTATCTGGCTGAGTGTAATTTCACATCACCTTCAAGAACTGCCATATTTTGTCTGGTTTTGCTCCTGGGGTTTTACACATAGCCTAGTGCACAGAAATTTGTTGAAGTTTTTCTAATTTCCATTCCACAAAAAACCATAACCATCTAATTTTGTCAAATGTTTAAAGCTAGACTCGGCATTCGGCATCATAGCCAAGCTGCAGAATAACCAGATGCAAAGGAGACAGCACACCTTCCAGCACAGAGATAGGGAATGTATGCCTCCTAAATATTAGATTAAAAGCTTCCACCATCCCTAGTCAGGCCACCCCATGTTGAGAAAATACAATCTAATGACATCTAAGCACCCCAAATAATGTGATCCTTCACCTCCATCCCTTTTTTCTTAACCTTATGGCTCTTTCTGAAGCTACCTCTCATTGACTTCTTTGCCAGTCTCTCCTTGTCATGACTTCAGAAGCAGAGTTTTAACAACAAAGTGGTACATGATGAAGCAAACAATTTCTGCTTGAGATTCAGGAAAGTTGGTGCCAACCTGAGCAGATATTCATTAACACCTCAACCAAACAAACATGCCATATATACTCGAGTATAAGCCAACCTGAATATAAGCCGAGGCACCCAAATTTACCACAAAAATGGGAAAACATATTGACTGGAGTATGATCCGAGGGTGGGAAATGCAGCAGCTACTGGTATATTTCAAAATAAAAATAGATAACAATAAAAATACATTAAATGAGGCATCAGTAGGTTAAATGTTTTTGAATACTTACATAAAATTGTAATTTAAGATAAGACTGTCCAACTCTGATTAAGCCATTCTGACCTTCTTCAATGTAAATGTGCTTACATATCCTTCCAATAATAAGAAAATAAATTAATAAATGTAATAATAATAATAATGTAAAATAATGGAAATGTAATAATAGCAGTAATAATAGAGTAAATTCATACATGTAATAATAATAATAAAGGCCCCTGGTGGCACAGCTGGTTAAACCACTGAGCTGCTGAACTTGCTGACTGAAAGGTTGGAGGTTAGAATCCGGGGAGCGGGGTGAGCGCCTGTTGTGAGTAGATCAATAGGTACTGCTTTTGTGGGAAGATAGCAGCGCTCCATGCAGCCATGCCGGCCATATGACCTTGGAGGTGTCAATGGACAACGCCGGCTTCTCAGCTTAGAAGTTGAGATGAGCACCACTCCCCAGAGTCGGATACGACTAGACTTAACGTCAAGGGGAAACCTTTACCTTTACTACTAATAATAAATAGAGTGAAATAATAAATGTAAGAATAAAAATAATAGAGAAAAATAATACATGTAATAATAATAAAAACAGAGAAAAATAATAAATGCAACAACAACAGAGTAAAATAAATACCCTTGACTCAAGTATAAGCTGGGGGGGGGGCTTTTTCAGCCTTAAAAAGGGGGGGCTGAAAAATTTGGCTGATACTCGAGTATATACAGTAATAGTTTTCTTGCCCATTTCATCACAACTCATTTCTGCTTCATGGCTAGTATCATATTACATTCAAACTTCCTCCATTATTCATATGTTTATCTATCCACTTTGGTTTTAGACAATATTTTTCATCCTATCTTTGTACCCCAACTGACCTGTCACGTCATCACCATCTGACAAATTTCACATTTCTATTACTACTCACATGCCTCATTTCTGAGCATAAATGTCAATCTATGTGTACCTCACTCCATGCTTCTGATGAAGTAGTAGACTCAATCAACAAAAGATTTTGCTACAAACATCTTCCTCTCAGCTTGCTTCAAAGGTGCAACAAGATCCCTTTGCAACTGTTTCAGACTAACATAATATTTGAATTCTTGATTAGACAGAGAAGTAGGCTTCATATAAAGCAGGTTTTTTATTCTTAGTCATCAAAGATAGCATGTTTTAAGTATGCATAAGTTCCTCTATAGAAGTGGTGACACTTTTATTTTTGTCCAGTACAGAACATTTGCTTCAGTTTCCTGGGGGGTCCCCCTAGCTGTTTTTGGCCTATGACTCCCAGAAATCCCAGCCAGTTTACCAGCTGTTAGGATTTCTGGGAGTTGAAGGCCAAAAACATCTGGGGACCCCCCAGGAAACTGAAGCAAAGGAGAGGAAAGGGCAGTGCCAAGATTTCACAGCTGGCATTGCATCTTCCCACATTGGGACAAAGGAGAGTAGTGACCAAAGGCAGAGGATATGCTGGGACATGAGAGCAGAGCGGTGAAGGTATACAGTGTTTTGAAGATCAAACTATGTCCAGGGACACAAGAGGAGAAGAAAATTCACTAAAGAGTTTTGAGAATGGGCTCTGACCTTTCTGGGCAGAGAGATAAATAGTCACAATAGTTTAAAAGAAGCACACACAAACAAGTATCCCATGTAAGGGAGGTGTATGAACACTTAACACCTCTAAACATCAATCTAGAATTCTGAGTCCAAACAAAACTCTCTTTCAATACTTCCATTTTGCAGAGAGCAAAGTGATTCCAAGAAACAGAGTGGCATCCTGAGAATTGGAATATGACTCTGGATACAAAGGTTCAAAATGCACTTGGCCATGAAAAACCACTGGGTGACCCTGAGCAAGTCACATACTCTCCGCTCCAGAAAATCCCATAATAGTGTCAAATGACTTGAAGGCACACAAACGCAACAGTAATTGTAAAATCAGTTCCTGACTATAAAGAAAACACTTTAGAAATACATTTGAAAAGCATTTTACACCAACTCTCTCTCTGTGTTGCTTTTCCTCATGTACATAGCCAATTGGACTTATAATAAGAAACATCTTGTTATAATTATCCCTGAAATTACTTTATTAAAGAAACAAGATTTGCTAATCTACTAAGTACTTGGAAGAGTTTCTGATTATCAACTAATCCAAACTAATCCCTTACAAATTTTGTCATGCATCTCATGGTAACACTGAGCAATATTTTCCCATGAAATTCTGATTGTTTCACTGGATAAAGCTGGAAACACAAATGATTGACTTGCATTTTTTAAAGAAAGACATTTAAAGATGCCACTAAAAGAAGAAAAAACTATTACTTCAAGCCTTACTTCTTCTGGACTTCCCTACCCTCCAATGTACATTTGATCTGTCACTGTAAGGAGCAAGATGGTGAAGTGGATGCATAAAACCTCTTTTGGATTGTGCTTTTAAAACAGTGGTTCCCAACCTATGGTGTGTGGACCACCAGTGATCCATCACTACACCATTGCAACAAGATCAACTGGTCTCGCAAACCCTCTTATAGTGCCAAAGCTTATTAAATATGGTTTTTTGTGAGCAAGCAGATGGCAACTACTGGATGGCATATGTTCTGTATCAGAAACTAGAGCTGATGTAGTCTATCCAATGCAATATTCAGAATCAGCACCCCAAATAACCAAACTGAATCTAAAGTTGACCAAAAACCGATTCGTAACCCTTTTGGTACTAATGTTGGAGAGTGGTCCCTGGTCAAAGTGGCCCCTGATGAATGTGGTCCCTGATGAAAGTGGTCCCTGGTCAATGTGATCCCTGCTCAAAGTGATCTCTGCTCAAGTGTTCCCTGGTCAAAGTGGTCCCTGGTCAGAGTGGTCCCCAGTCAAAATGGTCCCTGGTTAAAGTGATCCCTGGTCAAAGTGGTCTCTGGTCAAAGTGGTCCCTGGTCAAAATAGTCCCTGGTCAAGCGGACCCTGATCAAAGTGGTCCTTGGTCAAAGTGGTCCTTGGTCAAATCTCCTCTGGTCAAAAAAAGGTTGGGGACCACTATTTTAAAGGTAGTTTGATATGTTTTTTTAAAAAGAGCAAACTGTTTAGAGCACAAAGAAAAACATCACCTACTTATGATAAGATATTAAGCTGTGACAAAAATGCACAATGTATGGCCCTCCAAATGTTTTTGGACTCTAACTCCCATAATCCCTCTCTACTGGCTGCACTGCCTAGGGCCAAAGCTAGGAAATAATATGTAAAAATTAGTATTAATGTGTTTAAAATTAATATTAATATTGTCTTTCTTTTTGTCTGTCTGTCTTTCCTTCCTGCCTTCTTTCATTCCTTTATAATGAAGGTTACCTTCCTTAATTTTAAAGATCTGAACACAAATGAAACATACATTTGGTGTTTGCATAACCATTAACATCCAAACGAGTAACCTCATGCTGCAGGAATGCTACCTTTAAGACTGGGATTTTCTAACTCTTTTTAATGAATTCATTTGTTAAAAAACTCTTGAAACGGTGTTAACACTAACACATTAATCATGTTTTCTGTTACTTGTTATAAGTAATATGTTCCTTGTAAAAATTAACAACAAACAAGTAACAGATTTCTTTTTAACATGGCACCTCCAAATTGGCACTGGGCTGTGGGGAACTCCTATTCTAAAGCTATATGATGTGGGAAACATCCAGGGCTTTTCAGGCACATGTGCCAGGGACGGGCACCATATTTATGCCCAATGACTATAACTGT